CCTGTGTAAAGCGGCAAGGACCTAAGTGCTCTGCTTTGTCCCATTGACATTATATACTTTGAAAGCAAGCGGTCTAAAGCTCATTGATCCCAGGGCCCAAGTAGTTCTTCGAGTGTGGCTCCGACTGAGCACACTGAGGCATAGGAACGCAGATGCCATGTCCACAGGTTGCTACGTGTCTTATGTGGAAACCTGTCTTGCTGGCACTCAGCATGGAATGAGGGAAGGACCCCTAAAATCCCATCCCTTGTGGTTTCCGTTAAGGGAGTCCCCGCGTAAATTCCCTCATTCCCTGAGCACCAGCAAGCATTTGTTCAATTCCAGTGGCTGGTGTTCATAGGCGATTGAGCCCGGATGAGAAGGAGCCCTAGCTTGGGCTGTGAAAATATGCAGTCGAGTAGGTCCAGTGATACCCACCAATTAGGATGGAACCTGACAGGGGGGGTCCTAGAAGACAACTTTCCTTTCAAAGGAAACCCCGAACGTCAGGTTGCACGTTTATTAGTGGGAGGGTATCCTTATGAAATCTTTTAAAGGAAACCCCGAGCGTCAGGTTCCACGTTTACTGGTGGGAGGGTATGTTTGGACCGCAGAGTTGGGCTTTCAGGAGGCTAAACGACTCACTCGCAAGTTGAGATTCCGCGCCAGGCCACCGAGCATGAGGCGAGCAACCGACGGGCTCCTGAGCTTTGGTTTGTCGTGCTTCTGCCAACGTGTTGCCCCCTGGGGGGGGGGGTCCGAAAAGGGGGGGGGGTTCTGAAAGTGACCTTTAAAACGGGGAAGCCCTTTCAAGTAGATTTTGGAGGGTAAAGGGGGAGCAATCCTAGTCTTTGATTCCTGGAACCAGAGTCCACTGCCACGTGCTGAAAAAAAAGAAGAGACCCGGACGGCGATCAGCAGGACCGGGTTGTATGTCAATGAGTTCCCAAGGTTCAAAGGAAAAGTCACAGGGTTACTATACAACCCCAACTCGGGCTTTGTTTCCTTGTGTGCGGGCAGGCCTTTTTACAAAACCAAAATAGGAATCCAACTTTGACATCACAGAAAGCGTGATTATGGACAACCATGCCAGTGCCTGAGAATAGATCACGCCATCATAAGCCAATATATGTATATATGTTTCCCACATGTCAAAGGGAGGGTTGACTTGGCATCGCGCAGCTCTGACGTTTGTGCTTGGGACTTTTGTCCTTGCTTGGGGTGTTGGGGGAAGCTACTCACTGCTGCGGCGGTGTGAGCGGCAGTGGATCTTTCTGGTAATGCCTGGCAAACGAGCGCAGCGTCAGTTCCCTTGACCTTGGCCCATCTGGAATGAGTCGCTTTGGGTGTTCCCGAAAGCTGAATGCCAAACACTGTTTGCGGCGCAGTTTTGGTGCCGGCGGTGGTTTCCTGGATCCAACCCCCAAGGGCTCCTCACCTTCCGCTTAGATCGGCATTGGCTTGCCTGTGGCGGCTTTGCCGGAAGTTGGAAGTTCAATCGTGCCCTTGGCATGGTGTGGGAGGTATGGATGCTTATACGCCAATATGAACGTGCTGGTCAGTAGTATATACCCCCTTCTTCCGGCCAGAAAGCTCATCAGGTTTGGATGGGTGGGTAAATGGGAGACCCCCTGAAACACTTCCAATCCAAACCACTCAGCAATGGGAATCGGTCCCCGAAAAGATCCACCAACACGGGGTGCTCCATGTTGATACACGCCCATGGCGGCTGCAAATCGCCAGCTGGAGCAAGCGGGCGTCCTTGCCGCGGTGGCCTTTGGAGCGCTCCTTTGAAGCAACAAGAGCCGGGCTTCAGCTTGGTAGAGGTATGTGTCAAGATACGGGGAACCCACAAATGGATTTCGGTTGTCCCGTTGATTCTCCTTTGAAACAAAAAAGGAGTGCCCTCAAAAAAAGCAGAAGCCCATAGGGGTCCCTTTCAGTTCCTCAAGTTCCTCTTTGTTTCCCACCAACAAACTCAACCCAAAGCATGTCCTTTGCACCATCCGGTTCCCTTTTGGCCAGAAATTGTTCCTAAAAAGGTGGATTTGTTTCCTGCGTTGTATGCGGTTGCATGTTCTGTTGTTCTTAAGCACGCTTGCATTCTCTGGCATCTGTTCTGTTTGTGTATGAATTTGTATAGTGGTGAAGTGACTTTCAGACATCAGGCGCAAAATTCAGACAAACAACAATCAGACAACAGAAACGCGAAGTCCAGAAAACATGAGAACGCACAGATCAGAAAACATATGGTTCAGGACGGCCAGGATAATGGAATGGTCGGCATGTCGCAATGACTATGCGGTCCGGTTGGTCAAGGTGGTCGTGATGGTCGGGACGGCCGGGAGCATGGATTGTCGTCGCCAGGACGGTCGGGATGGTCGGGTTGGTCGGGATACTCAGGATGGTTGGGGTGGTGGGGACGGCCGGGATCAGAGGATGGTTGGGATTGTTGGGACGGTTGAGATGGTCGGGACGGTCGGGATGGTCTGGACAATTGGGACGGTCGGCATCGTCGGGACATTGGGGTCGGTTGGGACGGTCGGATGGTCGGGAGATGGTGGGCGGATGTTGGACTGGTAGAGGTTGGAGCGTTGAACCAGCAAGGACGCGTCGGCTTCGCCGCGGTCGGCCGTTCTCAAATTGAAGAAGCTCTATTCAGCCTATTGCTTTACCTTAGCTTGGAGAGCAATGACGTAGCACCAATGATCAAACTGCTAAGCTATTTGGGCAGAACACGTGCGGTAATCTTGAGCTTCGGATTCGCACCTACTCCCCAAGCGGCCCCTTCGAGGAAGAATCCAGCCAACAACATGTTTGGATAGGAGGCCTTCCGGCCTGAACCCCCAGACCGAACCCACTTGCGATTGACCCATAAGGTGTGAAACGGGCCTCTTTGAAAAGGCCAGGAGGTTGGTAAATGGGTCCTTCGAAGCGGCTTCTACGGCTTCTTGGAGATTCCAGGAGTGTTGGTTTGCGAGAAAAGGCCGCCTGAATCATGGCCCACAGAAGCTCCCTTGTTTCAGCTTGGCACGTGACACTTGCCATCAAGGGGTCTGCACGTGTGCCGCGGATGGCTTGAGCTGGACGTGAGGGCATAGGAATGAGTCAAACAATAGGGTGGACAAGCGGGTGGTCAACCCTGGATATGTCTGAATCTGGATGAATCTAAGGTCTTTGTCGCAGTGTTGTGCTGATAGCCATGGAGGTTTGAGAAATAGCGCATGACGCATTAACATCCTTACATTCCCCCCTCTTGCCTCATTGGCAGGGCAAATGTTGCACCAGGTGCACCATGTCCTTCATCTGCGGCTTCCGGAAAGACTCGCAGCCCAACAACTGGGAGCCGCGGCCTCAAGAAACACTGCCCATGCCCACGAACCCCTCCCCCACCTTTCCCCGTGAAAACTGACATGGGCTTGTCAACCGACATGGGTTTTGCCTCAAGGATATTCAACAAGCACAAAGACACACACACACACAAAGAGTGTTAGGGTAACTTTGATCCTAGAGGAGGCATATACGCAAGGCCAAAGGTGGACCAATCCCATTTGGCGATTGCCCCAATTTGGATCATTGAACACACATTCATGCCCTTCTCAAGGACATTCGGGCGGACACTCACCTCCCTACCCCTCATTCAGTTGCTGAGTTGCGCCTACTCTCCTGGAAACCACCACGGACTCTGCAATGTTGGGCTTGCGTTCCGCTGATTTTTGGAAGGGCCGTGTCTTGTTACCAGAAGAGGCGCCGAAGATGAATCCTGCCTTTTTCACACGAAACATCAAAGACAACCACCGGACCTTGAAGAAAGTCCTCTTTTTGTTTTCCGTGGCACCTCTTGAATGATGAAGGCGTTCTTTCTTCACGTTTCGCGAATTTCAAGCTGGCAAGTTCCCTTTACACCGGTTTATTGGTAGATTGGTGCCGACCTCATTTCGACCACACTACCTCCTTTGGTCATTGCCCCGGATGCACTTCAACCTGCGCAAACGCCAACAAACTTGGCATGTCCAACAGTCAGGGACCCCCCAAAACTGGTGGGTGTTCCTTTGTTCCAGTAAAAGAAGGGTGCGTGCCCCACTTGTAGGACACTCATGTTGCGGCAATGTACTTGTAGGGAATCCCTCTTGGGTCCAGTTGATGGGGCTTGCGGTGGCTGGGTGTGGGTGAGCTCCCCCACGAACCAAAGTTGCACGGGATTCTTCATACCTCTAATCAAAGTATTTGGCTTCTTTACGGGAATGCATTTCAGTGATTTTAGCACCCTCGCAAAACTGCTTGGTGGGCATAAATCCCCATGTGAGCAATGTTCTCCAAAAAGGATTCCCCAAATCAGATTTATGTCATACAGATTGCAGATGAGTGCAGGTTCAAAGCGCCCCCGCTCCTCCGTTCCATGTTCCGCGCAGGTGGCGGTGATGTGACGGCCACCAGGGCCTGTCGCTGTGAAACTTGCGGCGAAGAATTCGAGGCGCTCGGCGACAGAAGTGCGCCGGCTCAGGCGTTGCGAGCAAAGCCGAGCAGCGAAGAGCAAAACGGAGATGGCGCATGATCCTTTAAGGTGAGTCTGCTTGAAATGGCCAGCACTGTGTTCAGTTTGCCCGCGGAGTGTTGGAACACGCAATTCAAGAATAGAAATCTATGTGTGGGCCACGTCCTTGATTGTCGCTCTCTACAGCTGGCATGACAAGGTGCACTGACCAAATGAAAGGATCCTGGGACATTGGCGCTTTCTCGCCAGTTGTCCAATGTTTTGGCTTTCCTAAGTTGCTTTCCCGGCAAACAACAACCCACCAGACCATTTGTTGCTCTCTCCATGAACCAAGCAAGCCATACGGTCTGCCCATAACACAGCCAAGGGATGAAATGGGGAGTCGCCATGAGTCGCCTAGAAAGGCGTGCGTCACAGCCAGATGGGGTGGCCCAGGTGGCCCAGGGGTGGGGTGGCCCAGGTGGCTCCCCGCGCAAAAGCGACGCAGCCAGAGTTTGGCCGCCGTCTCCGTTCGCCGCTGCCCTTCAGGGGCTCGCAAGGGTTGCCTGACAGCCCGTACCAGGTGGGCAGAGGTTGGCGTGAAGAGAAGACCCAAGACTTGCTCCAAGTTGGGTGTGCCTGGTTTTGAGGGTACCATGTGTACCTGTTTTTGTGGTGGTTTTAAAGAGAACCAAACGGAACACCACCACATTGCTTTTCTTTTTTTTTGGGGGGGGGCACTCCCAAATCCCGTTGAAGCTTTTGGGGGGCGGGGCGACAAATACCTCGGGGCCAAACAGACACAATTCACTGAAAAAGGAGCTCTAATGGCAAAGCCCGCATAGCCGCCTTGTCGCTTCTGGTTTGGCATGTGCGGTGGTCAAGCCACCCCTTCAATTGGGGTGGGTAGGGATGATCACCAACCCTGATTTTTTGACAACCATTGTAGGAGTTCCCACCAAGCAATCCATGACCATGGTCCACACAAGACATTTCGATCATGGCACACGTGGACTTCGGAGCTGGATTCGCTCGTTGATTCTGCCTTGTAGAGCTTGAATTCCTTACATATTGCAAGCAGGGAACGAGGGACAAACACAATTTGCTCTGGCTACTCGCTGTGAGAGCCGAGACGATGACCAGCAGACTGAACCTGTCATATAGGCTTTTGCATGAATAGTCGTGCGCCTGTTGAGGCTGCAAAAGCATACGCATTTCGGTGCGAACCCTATCTGCCCTACTTGCAATATGCAGGATGTAGCATTTGGGGAAAAGAGGCCTTCTGTTCCCTGGCTTTTGAATTTCTCCCTAGCCTGGGCGTTCAGGATGGTTACCGGCCTGAATGCGGATTTGGGACCCTGGTAAGCGCCATGTGCCTTGGAGCCCGTGCCCAAGCAGTCAGAAACCTCGCTGTTTTTTTACAGCGGATGGATAGGCAAGATCCACTTCGCGCCGGGAGCCCCGTATTTGCCTGGGCGTTTCTCCAATGTTGTCCATCCACTATTCTGAGGGTTGATTCCCCCTCCTTTTCAACCATCGCTCTTTGCAAAAACCGGCCGTTTCCCGTTTCCGTGGGTGTCCGGAGGTTAGAAAGATTCGGATCCCAGGAAAAGAATGGGGAAGGTAGCGCTAGAACTTTCGGCATTCGCTTGGTCGCAGGCCATGACACGCAAGGCCCGGGAACTCGGTGCCGGAGCGTCCGAGACATGGACTTCGCCGGGTGGTTTTCAAGGAAGCCAAAAGGACGCCAATGAAAAAGACCCGGTGCATGGGGGTTCCCCAAAAAGGGTGGTTTTCCTTGGGTTTCCATTGAACACAACTGCCAAAGCGGGTTCCCTAAGAAAAGACGCGGCCACATGAGTCACATGAGGGTCCTTTTTCTTTGTCCAGAGTGAAAAGAAACTCCTCCTCTCAAGCATTCCGACTCCCGGATGCTGAGAAAAGAAGTCGTTCTGCCTGGTGCTCATGGTCAAACATCCTGCAGGATCTGGTTTAATAGGAGCATGGCTGTCGCTCCCTGTAGTAGAGATGTTGTTGGACACCCTTTTGGATTATTCCAAGGATGTTGGTTGCGTGCAGTCAGGTTCCAATGAGGGTTTCGGGCCACTTGCACCAGTCTGACGGTTACTTGAGGTGTTAGTTGATTTTAGTTGTGTGTGCTTTTTCTGCTGCTCCCGTTGCTCTTGTTCAAGGATGTCCTGGACATCAACACAATCATGACATAGAGAGTTCTGATCATGTCACATAGAAGATTGAGTCTGTGTTCTGCTCAACTTTGAGGGAACAGTTTTGTGATAAGCTGGTGATGGCAATGGCTTTGGTCAAGTGGGTGGCTGGTTCGCCAAGTAGTAGGCTTTCACAACCTGCCTGTTGTTTGGAAAACACTGGATAATGCATGCGCACTTGTTCCACTGAATTGACAGGATGTCGAGCATGCTTGGACCATGAACCAGAAAGTTGGCGGGCTGCAAACTTTGGTTTGCAATGGATGAAATGACTTTGACACAAGTCCATTCGTGCCACAACACGACATGAGGTTTGTATCGCAAGCCAGGACTTCGTCCAAACGGTTTTCTCTGCACGACCTTTGGTGAAGTCCAGTTCGAAAGCCGTGAAGTTGGTAGCCAGTTGGGGCAGCCGGGGCTGAGTCAAACGAATGAGATGAGGGTGGCTCAATCAGAGGTTGACAAAAGGCGGCGGAGTTTGAACTATGTGGTTCAAAGCACCAACTGGCATAATTCCCACCCAACTGCACTTCATTTGCTGTCAGACAAGACACTTCCCACGCCGTGGTCCAACATGCCTGTCATTGGTATCCCTTCGACCATCCACCAAGGGGCTCTCATTGGAGGGGCACCCGTGGAGGGTATACAAACTCGATCACATGTGAGTCAAAATTGTCAAGCCTTTTGCAAGAGAAAAAGGTTCTGCCATCAGCGAAACAATTAAACCCAAGCAAGCTCGCGTGTATCCACGTATGAACTTAGGGGTAGTTTCCCTGTCAGAAAGGGCTCACTTTTCCAACGTTCCTTTGCAGGTGGGAGTTGCGTGAATTGACGTTTCGTTTTTGAACACGGGTACGCCCTTTGGGCGATATCTTCCTGACTTCCCTTTAGGCCGCAGCCGGTGCGGCCGCCGTGGCAGGCAAAAGAAAGTCGTGCCGCCAGACTTGTCAGAATTCAAGAGAAGATTGCTACCGGTATGGAGGGCAACCAGCTTGATAAAGTGCGGGGACATGGTCAGGTTGTCAACAAAAGATCGCGATTTGTTTTGCGGAATCAGGGTTCTATTGCGCGCAAAACCTCATGCTGTGATGCAGGCTCCCAGCATTCTTTAGGATAAATTGATCATTACTCCCTGCGGATCAAGATGGAACTAGCAACAAGACGCATTTGCAGAGGAATGTTCCCATGGGATATACATATATATATATATATATACAACATGGTAGCCCCGCCCTGAAATGTCCAGGTTTGCATTTGTGTTCATTTGTGATGCCCGCTGCATCTGACTGCAAATGGAAAAAGAACCGTTTGAACCCTTTCTCAGAGGAAAGGTCTGGGCCCAACACCGTTCAAACTGTTTTAACCATTTAAACCCTTTCTCAGAAGAAAGGTCTGCGCGCAAAACTGTTTCCACAGTTTTGAACCGTTTGAGGGTAATCCCTTGCCCCTTTTAATAAATAAACCCTATTAATGCATACAGTTTTCCAGACTGACTGAAACAACCGGGTGCCCAGTACTACTTTTACGATGGCCCGATTCAAACCAACACTACCAGTACTAAACTGCCCGATGTCTCCACCCAGACCAGCCCCAGCATTCTTAGCGGGCTCTTCGCACCAACCCAATACCAAACTCAAGATGCATACTTACCTTTTACTAACTTACAATTGTTTCTTGAATTGTAATTCTAAGTTTAAGCTGCGCCCTTTTGAACCGCAAAAACGGGAAGAACAAAAAAACACCTTGACCGGTTTTATTCAAACTTGTTACACGGAAAATTGGGGTTTTGAGGTTTTTAGTGTCTGGGAAGGGGGGAGACCATTTGGACGAGGACCGAAGAGGAAATCCGGTCGACCCCACAGGACGCCAGGAATAAATATGTGTTGTCCCCCAGAAAGTGTTTATTATTAGGAGGCTCGGCGTTATTAGTAGCGGGAAGGGGTTAAAGATCAGCCGGCACATCTATGTCTATATAATACATATATATATATATATATACATATATGTTTGTTTTTTTTGCAGGAAATGGCTTTGTATGTATTGAAATGGCACACCCAATGCAACGCATGCGCGTGAAGGGTCGAACTCGAAAGGAATCACCTGCATCGCCGAAGGCCGGCGATTGGAGGACGAAGCAGCTGTAAATACGAGGGGCAGCACGTATGCTTGCAAAGATGAGCTTGCCGTTCTGCAAATTGGACCGAACTAGCAGTTGACAGACGAGAACAACTGAGAAACTTGGTTCCGTGGCAACTGGTTTGAAATCATGGAGGGTAGGTGCCTCCGTTCTCCTCGTCGATCCTTATGATTATGGTCATGTTTGGGTTCCTCGTGTTTTTTTAGGAATCGGACCCCCCCCCCAGATAGTGATTTTCCGTTTTGTCCATTTCAAACCATCGCTGTAAACAAGAATGGGGTACCCCTCAACAGAAGACGAGCCACCAGTTCATGTTCATCTTCCCTTCTCATAAATTGATTGTAAGAAAGGCATGTTGTCCTCTGACGCATCTGTGGAAAGCATCCTCACCAAACTCCTATGTTGTGGGCGTGCCAGAGCTTCAGCTTATGTCTGAATCGGGTATGAGGCATGGGGACGCACTTCCGAAGGCATGGCTGCAGTCAGCAGCTCGGCCTTCGTGTCTGGCCTGGGGCTCAGCAACCCGTGTCACTGGGCGTGTGTTTCTTTTGAGGGTACCTGGGTAGAAAGGGACACCCACAGTCGCCCGATTTCGACAGGAACAGCTCCCTGCCCTGTGAAGAGCCATACAAGTCGGCGGGCCGGTGGAATGTTTGGATTTCCTGGGGTTCATTCAACTTTACCCAAAAGGGTTAACCTATTATCCAGATCCTTTGCAGAGTCCAGGTCCCATAACCCACCTTCCACCCGAATGCGGTTGCGCCGCACAGCCAATACTGTCAGCGCCTGCCGGTTGAAATCAAAAAGAAATACGGCTTTGACGCCAGACATGGATATGTGTGTGTGTGAAAAATATCAAACTCGTCAAAAGGTTGGTTTCATATTTCCCTTGTGACACTGTCTCCAGAATTGGTCTATACTGGTCTTGACTCTAAGCCACTTGAAAGAGCCCATGACGTCGAGTTCGGGTGAGGAGCACACAGTGTGCAGAGGTCGAATCGCCATTCAGGTTCAAACAGAACAGCCGGGGCATGTTGCAGGTGGGGGAGGCATGCTGGTTTTGGCGTTTTTTGTTTTTTTTCGGAGTGCGTTCTGCTGTCAACTTCTCGAAAGAAAGGGTTTGTGACAAGCTTTGCGAAGGTTGAGACACGCCTCAGTGATGCCACCTGGGTTTCGGAGCCAAGCGATGCAGCTCATGGGCCTCTCTGGGATCCCCTATTCCCAAGTGCAAGGCTTCTTTGCGAGCGCCCAGACCGAGAGACATGCAGAAACGCCAAATATTGGCTTGGTATTTCAGGACGAGTAATATGTTTCTGTGCTTGTGAAGCCAGAGTCTCAGAGGGAAGCCACCATTTTCGTGGTCAATTGCAGACAAGCCAAGCCGCTCCACGTGCGTTTGGAATTTGCTGCCCTGGTGCCTTGCGACCTCTGCCTTTCCCGCAGCTCAACTTTTTTCTCAGACATGGAGCTAGCGTCGCTAGCTTCAGAGCTCCAGGGCCGAACGCTGGAGTTCTGGCGCACCAACCCCCGGCACCTTGACGGCGAATGTAGCCGGAGGGTTGCTGAGGACCAGTGGGCCTATGTTGGGAGGCAGCAACTCTGTTGCCTCACTGACCCAGTTCCCAGACTTGATACTTTTTGGGAAGCCCATTTTTGCGGTTCAAGAGAGCGTTGCCACTCGCCACGTGTTCGTCCACTCGTTCCACTTGTTCCCACGCTTCATATGCCCACTCGTCTGGTGACACGAGTTCGATCATTTTACTTTTAAAGCCTTCAAGATACATGTTTACGAGGTTTTGGAGTCACGCTAGCCATAGCACCCCGGCAGAAAGGTTCTCAGAACGAATATGTTTGGCCATGCAAGTGGGAACAGCCAAACAAAAAGTGTTGAACCCGTCCGAGCAGAGCGCTGGGGTCCCTTAAAAGGCCGTTCAATCAAGGGAGAGACCCTATTTGTTGGAATTCCCTTATGTTTCAGGGGGTGGATGAACTTAGAGGCTGAGAGGAACTTTGAGTTTCTCAAATGCAGTGGATTTTCTGCTCCTTAATTACTCGGCCAAGGCGTTTGATTGCATCGTATGTGTTTGCCCTTTACTGGGTTGATGCACAAGAACCAAATGCAAGTCGCACACCAACAACTAGTTCAGCTCCCTGTTTCCTAAGGGATGGCTGTGTGCTTGGGGCTGTCCCATCAGCAAGAATGGATGCATGGTACACATGTCACAGATTAGATCGGAAGCCAAGGGCAGGAACGCTGAATCCTGGCAAACCAGGCCAAACATGAACCCACCGATCTCGATCTAGGGCGCTGGACTTGCAGGTATGTGACTGCCAGCTTGACCACGCTCGCGCGGGAGAACGCCTATGACGGCTGCCTCCGCATGATTGAGGCGTGTGTCGTCGTGTTCATTGAGACATGGCCAATGGCGGTTTCGACCATTCGGTTCAAGAGATTCACTGCGGTCTGCGGGGATTGGGAGCATGTGACAATCAGCCTGGCACACCATCGACCTTTGAAAACTCAAAGGGAGGGGTCATGGGCCAAGCGCAGGAAGAACTGGGAAGAGAGTGCCAATTTGCGTGGGGAATTCGGTTCAACACCAAAAAAAACTTAAGGGTAAGGCAGCTTGATGAACATGCTGAAAGGGGTTTGGGGTCATCTAAGCAGGAATGAGTCTTGGCCGCCAAGAGGAACGGGCTTGAACTGTTTTCCGAGAAAAACTTAACTATGAAACCGCCTCTTCTGTACGAGCAAAATGCGTTGTGTTGGAGCCCAGATTCTGCTCGTATTTTGGCAGATTGGGCTTGCGTTTGCGGCAATTGCGAGTTTTCACAAAGAAAGCAGTGATATGCAACAAATACTGCATGGGCACATTTTTTAGAGTTTTGGCCACACACTACAAAATGCGGAGCAGAACGTGTTTTTTCATAGTACACGTTTCTCAGAGGCCCCAGGTTCCCCGTGAACCAACTCCGAACAAGCTCCGAACGAACAAACTCCGAACGAACTCCGAACGAACTCCGAACAAACTCGGAGCGAACTCCGGACAAACTCCGAACAAACTCCGAACGAACTCCGAACGAACTCCGGGCGAACTCCGGGCGAACTCGGAACAAACTCCGAACAAGCGAACAAGCTCCGAGCGAACTTTGGCATTGTTCCCGAGCCAACTCCGAACACACTTTGGCCATAAGTATGTTTTTGAGCCCAAGTATATTGGTGGCCAAGCTGTTTTTTTCTTTTTCGGGCTTACCAAAAGAGGCCAAGTGATTACAGGGGCCAGTTTCAACAAATGGACTGGGAAGGTGTTTTTTGAGGCAAACAAGCATGTTCTCAGGCCACTTGTTGAAATTAGTTCTTTTGGTCACTTGATTTTCCTGTTATGTATGTTTCGGGCTGGATTTACTTCCCGGACAAGCGCCACACAAACTTTGGCCATATTTTTCTTTGGGGGAGCTGATTTTTGTGTTTCGGCCTTAAGTTTCAGTTTTTCGGCTTTGTTTTGCTTTATTGCTCTTTTTTTCAGGCTGTTGATTTTTGCTTATTATTTTTTTCGGGGCTTAATTCTTGCCCCGGACGAACTCCGAGAACTTTGGCCTTAAGTTTTTGGTTGGAGCTTATTTTTTCGGTGTTGAACTTTTTGGGTTTTGGTCGTACAAACACACTGGAATTACAGCTTGTTGATGCGTTTTTCGTACAAATTCAGTGTTACCAGGGCAAACAAAACATTGAACCATGCTTAATCCAGGTTTTTCATTCAAACAAAAACAGCTATTTCATACGACCAAAATCGGGCAAGCCATTACACAAATCGGGCAAACCCTTAAGTTCAACACCGGTGTTGAACTTAAGCTCTTTTTTTGGGAATAAGTTTTTTTTTTTCCCCCCGGATTAAGCCTTGATCAAAAAGATTAAGCTTTGTTTCAGCTTCAACAGCGAGCCTCAGCGTCAACCAAGCTGCGTGATCACCCGGTAGCGGTTTTAACCCTCCGCAGCTCTGAAGTCCTACAAATTCGGCCCTGAACGCCTTCCCAGGCCACTTGTTGAAACTGGCCCCTGTAATCACTTGGCCTCTTTTGGTAAGCCCGAAAAAAACAAACAAACACGGTTTGACCACCAAAATACTTAGGCTCAAAAACATGCTTATGGCCAAAGTGTGTTCGGAGTTGGCTCGGGGGTTTGTTCGGAAATGAACCAATGACAAAGCTTGCTCGGAGCTTGTTCGCTTGTTCGGAGTTTGTTCCGAGCTCGCCCGGAGTTCGTTCGGAGTTCGTTCGGAGTTTGTCCGGAGTTTGCTCGGAGTTTGTTCGGAGTTCATTCGGAGTTCGTTCGGAGTTCGGAGTTCGCTCGGAGTTTGTTCGGAGTTTGTTCGGAGTTGGTTCACGAGGAACCCGTATTTTGTAGTGTGTGGCCAAAAACCAAAAATGTGCCCATGCAGGATTTGTTGCATATCACTGCTTTCTTTGTGAAAACTCGCAATTGCCGCAAACGCAAGCCCAATCTGCCAAAATACGAGCAGAATTTGGGCTCCAACACAACGCATTCTGCTCGTACAGAAGAGGCGGTTTCATAGTGAAGTTATTCCCGGAAAACAGTTCAAGCCCTTTCCTCTTGGCGGCCAAGACTCATTTCTGTTTAGACGACCCCAAACCCGTTTCAGCAGGCGCGTCAAGCTGTCTTACCCCTAAGGCTTAGCGCGCAGAAACGGCGCGGTCCCCTGGGAAGCAAGCAAATTGATTCTTGTTTCGAGGAAACTGGCATCAATAGTACACTTTGAGATTTGCTGCAAAATCTAGGCTTTTTCTTTTTTTGGTTTTGGCAAACCCTTAAGTTTGAGTAAAAAACCCTTATTCTTTTTTAGGACCTTAAAACACCCAAATCCCGAACGAACTGACCTGACCCATGAAATTTGGCAGAAGAGAGTTGTTCATTTTTTCAGGATCCCCCCAAAAGGCTGGCTGCGGTTGCTTTCCCCTGTCAACGAAGCCCAAACAGGGTGCCCTACAAACAAGAAACATCTAGTTGGAGAGGGTAGTTGCACCGAGGCATCCCGACAGTCGGTTTGCCCTGCAGGCTTTGCGCAGGGCAGATGTATGCCTCGACATCAGGCACTGGCCCCTTGGCTCGCAATCTCACATGCCTCGGCGCCAAGCACCTCCCCCAAGACCTGGGATGTCGGTGTTCCTTTCTGGGTTCTGTTTAAACCCCAAGGGTGCCCTCAAAAAAAGACACCTGTACATCTAAACCCAAATAACTTCACGATAAATCAACAGATCCGTACACACCGTTCGCCTGTTTCTGCACCCACTCGCTGTGCCTGGTTGTTGAACTCGACAGTTTGTCAGGCAATCCAAAGCTACACCTACAGCACCAATATATACATGTATATATATATATAATAATATGGTACCCCCCCCCCCCATGGACCCTGGTTTGGTGCGGTTGACCTGTATTTTCCAGTGTTTTATGCTTCTTTTTGCTTCTTGGATTTGTGTCAAAATTGGG